TATCTTAGCAAAAAAGTATCAGCCCACATTTTGTGAGCAAAAGTGTGTGCATGTGTGTCCTGCTTTACTAAAATTAAAACTGGTAAGTGTTGTTAGTTGCCTGTTGGGTTAGCTCTGACTCATAGGGACCATATGTATAACAGAACGAAGCATTGCCCAGGTCTGTGCAATTCTCACAGTTGTTGGTATTGTTTAGCCTGTTGTGGCAGTTATTTTATAAAATATTAGATGTAGAGAAGGAGAAACACAAATAAAAGATCAAGGTAATTTGAAATCCCACCCCTAAGAGATAACCTTCATTTTTATATTTGTAGCCATTTTTCTATGCAAACCTATTTAACACTATTTTATAACCTTTTATCATTTAGTAATGTAAAATGAAGATACTTCAATGTCAATAAATAGATATCTGTGATATCTCATTATATTTAATGGTCCCATTGTTTTTCATTATATGAGTGGAGGTAGGGCAGTCTATTTCTGTAGTGATACTGCCTTGGAAACCCAAGGAGGGGTTGCTATGAGTCGGGTTCAACTCGACGGCACATAACGACAACAACAACAACAGTATAGTTTGCAATCTGTAAATGCAGATTTTACAGTCTGTTGTTGAACATTTAGTGTGATTCCTATTGTCCACTATTATGGAGAGTATTGTTGTTGTTGTTGTTGTTATGTGCCGTCGAGTCGGACCCGACTCATAGCGACCCCTCCTTGGGTTTCCGAGGCAGTATCACTACGGAAGTAGATTGCCCCATCTTCCTTCCGAGGAGTGGCTGGTGGATTTGAACCGCCAACCTTAGGTAGGATTATTAATGAGTAAATGAAGAAATACATGTAAACCATGGAGAAAGCCACCTGCCATATAGTAAACAACAAACAACCCACTGCCATGAGGTTCACTCTGACTCATAGACTCAACCCTACTTGGGTTTCCAAGGTGGTATCTCTACAAAAGTAGATTGCTCTGTCTTCCTTCCGAGGAGTGGCTGGTGGATTTGAACCGCCAGCCTTCTGCTTAGCAGTCAAATGCCTTAGGCACTACACCACCAGTTCTTCATTATTATTATTATTATTATTACTGTTATTTTAATTGTCTACTTCCTCAGAATCAACTCTTGGAAGTGCAATTGCTAATCTGTTATTCACACTTTTGAGGGTTTTGATACATTTTACCCAATTTTAATCCAGAAAAACTCCATCCCCCTAACTGAATGAAAATGCTCATTTCCTGAGCCTTGCCAACAATATATAGTCTTTATTTTTATCTTTGCCAAACTTATTGGTAAAAATGATATCTTGTTTGAATTTACATCTCTCTGATACCTAGTGAGGTTATGCACTTTATTTTATATTATCAATAGGCCAGTTATGTTTTCCTTTTGAGAATTACCTGTTCATGTCCTTTTCTATTTTTCTGTTGGAGTGTTCATTTTTTTCTTATTGATCTGTAAGATTTTTTGTACATGCTATGTTGCAATTTCCCTTGCAATTTACTGTTTGCCCTGTAATGTTTTCTGGTGTTTGACAAACACAAGTTTTAATTTTTATGTTTAATTATAAGCATCCTGAACTCTGGCTGGCCTACTGCTATGAGGCTGAACAGGTTTCAGCAGCACTCTCAGCCTACGATGGACTAGGAGGAAAGGCCTGGTTATCTACTTCCAAAAATCAGCCAGTGAAAACCTGATGGATCACAACAGTCCACTTCTGTTCTGCATGGGGTCACTGTGAGTCAGGGCCCAACTCGACAGCAGCTAACAAGATGACCCAGTTGGTGTGCAGGATCTCTTTTCTTGTACTGGATTGAAAAACAGAAAAAATGAAGAAAAGCAAATAGTCATTGCCTCCCCTGTCACCCCCTTAGGCCTACCCTAAAGATTCCTTCCTCCATATTTTCCCATGGTTCAGTCATTAAAGGATTGATGCCTGGCACAACAGGGACTTCCAGAACCCTGCTATTCCCTTCACATTGGCCTCAGTCTCAGTTCTGATTAGTCAGTGAGTGTTCTGTTCCATTTTTTCAATATTTTGAATATCACATCTGCCAGATTACAAATATTGCTGGAAACTCTTTCTTCACCTCAAGATGAGGCAGCCCTCCTCTGTTCTGGAGTGACATAGGCAGGATGAGCACAGGTTAGTACACTAATTAGATCTGAGATTCACTGAATCACTGAGAGGCCAAGTTAGTGTTAGATCCTAGAGCAAGGAGAGGCTAGTGGCTTCATCTCCATCATAACCACACAATCTCTCACTTCTGTCCTCTCCTCTCAACCTTACTGCACTGCCTGGGACCTGGTTCAGACCCTAATCTCCTTCCATCTAAGCGCTCCTGGCTCCGGTCTTTTTCCTTTTCAGTCCATCCTCTGTAAGCCTCCCAGTTTAACTATCTTGAGTGCTTCATCTGGCTGATTGACCCAGACAGTGCTATGCTGGGAGAAAGACACACCTTATCAGTGGCTGCTGACCTTGGATAAATTATGTACTGCCAGAACCAGAGTTTCCTTTTATTTAAAATACAAATATTATCATCCTCATAGATTAGATCTTCCAGGCTCTGACCTCTGTAATCTGCATTATACTTATGTATTATTGATCTCCTCTGTTGATACTATTGTTAGTTGCCATCAAGTGGATTCTGCCATATGGTGACCCCCATGTGTGCACAGAGCTGTGCTCTATAGGGTTTTCAAGGCTGTGACCTATCAGAAGAAAATTGCCAGGCCTGTCTCCCAAGGCACCTCTAGGTGGGTTCGAACTACCGACCTTTCTGGTAGTAGTCAAGTGCTTAACAGTCTGTCCACCTAGGGACTCTAGTTATCTCCTCTACTAGTCAGTAAACTCCTGAAAAGCAGAGCTCTTGTTATATCAATCTTTACACCCCCAGACTGGGCTTCTCCTGGTTCTTAGATGGCAGTTGGCCTTCAGTAAATAAATTCTTCCAGGGTTGAACTGAGTCAAGTTCCAAATACCAAAATAAGTGATGAAAATATAATCAATCCAGATGTTTTCACATTATAGACTGAATTGATTTCCTCCTTAGATGAAAGTAAGGAGCCCTGGATTTTTTTGTACACAACCCCAACAATTTCTACAAAACACTAAAGACCTTTATTCTCTTTAAGTAGGGACTGCGGGCCAAGAATCCCAGCGCTTTTGCACCTTAACTTGGCAGTTGGCAAAATGAATTACCAGGCTGACCCCTCCCAACAAAGCACATGATCAACCACAGCTGTGCATGTTTTTTAGCATGACTGCAACAGGACAGGGCTCCAAGCCACTGGGTGGAGCAATGAGCCCTGGGGAGAGAGCTTAGGACATTTCCCCTATGATTTCAGAAAGAAAAAGAAAAGAAAAAATACCTCTTTTCCTCTTCAGTTGTTTGTGCTCAATGTCAACAGATGATGTCATACTTAGCATGTATACATATAATGCATGCATCAATCTGTAGAATATACAGCACCACTGCAGTGGGAGAGAATTTAAAATCAATGGTCCTAAGTGAAAGTCAGTCAGAAATTGCTCATTAGTGTACTCTCCTCTTTCCTTGACAACTGAATCCCAGTTTTATTTGGGAGTGATAAATGCAGCTAAAAGACAATTTCCCAGCCTCCCTTGGAGGACTGAAAAAACCAAACCAGACTCACTGCTGTGGAGTTGAATCCGATGCATAGAGACCCCTTCTTGGGTTTCTTAGTATGTCTATGGAAGTACATTGCCCAGTCTTCCTTCTGGGGGGTGGCTGGTGGGTTTGAAGTGCCAGCCTTCTGGTTAGTAGTCAAATGCCTTAGGCAGTACACCAGCAGAGCTCCACCAGAGGTCCCGGTAATATTCATACCAATGAATATTAGGCAGCAGTATCATGAGTGGAAATTCTGTCATACTGTTTTTAGTGGAAAACACTTAAGGAGCCTGATAGGCTTAGCAGTTCATGTAGTTTGCTGCCATAAACCACATATAAATGTCAGCAAAATTATTTCTAGAAATTCTTTGATGTTTGTAAATGTATAGAAAAATGTGTGGAATAATAAACTGATAGCTGCAGTTGGTAGAAATAGAATAGGGAGTTGGGGGATTAAACTTGGTACAACGTTTGAATATTTTACTACAGTGATTCATGTTTTATGTAACTAAAATTTAAAGAAATTAGTAGATCATTTAAAACGAGTGGAATTTAAAGCATCTCTTCTGGCCAGAATATAAGCAAGAAAATAAAAGTGATTCAGTCTTGAAAAGGATTAGTCAGAGTTTACAATATTAGGTTAAAATTGGAAGAAAAAAAGATGAACTATTTAAAAAATGAAACGTAATTTTTTAAGAAGCTTTTTCAGGTATAGAAGGTGAAACAGCAAGCTGTGTACTTATGACCTTATCAAAAAGTTTTTCTACCTGCCACTAACTTCTTTTAAACAGGCAGTTGTCAAAGGAAATTGTAGACGATTTCAGGAAAGTCGGACATCCTCAAATAGGCTTGCTTAGGGCTGGGGCAGCTCCCAGAAACTTTCAGCAATTCATTTCATAGGCGAGGTAACACAAGCTTCGCAGAGGCGCTGTATGACGATTCCTGAAGGCCCTGAGGAAATTTATGGATCAGGCTTTGAGTGTTAGAGAGAAAATGGACAGCCTCTGACACAAAATAAAAAAGAAGACTCAAGGCCTGACCGGGCCAAGGCTGAAAGCCACCGCTGGACCAAAGGGAGAAACTCACCGAGCGGGGCGGGGCCAAGATGGCGGAGAGGCGTGGCTTCCGGAGGTGGGGACTGGAGGAAACGGCACGAGGCGTGGCCCGGTAGGCTAGCACGGGTTGGAAGGCGGAGCCGCGGGGGAGGGGGCTGTCTCATATTGGCAGAGGCGGGGCTGGAGGAGTGTGTGGGCGGGCCTGGAGCCTGCTGCAGCTAGTGCGGGCCTAGGAAGCCCGCGAATGGAAGGGGCGGTGTGGGGGCGGTGCCGGGTAGTAAGCGCAGGTCGCGTGCTCGCGGAGGCGCTGTGCGGCGAAGATGGCGGCTTCCAGCTGGGCGCGTACAGCTGTGGTGCTGCTTTGTGCCTCTGACCTCTTGCTGCTGCTGCTACCACTTCGGGCTTGCGCCACTGGGGACCCCACCGGAGCACCTGACGAGGCTACTCCACCCTCACGAAAGAAGAAGAAGGATATTCGTGATTACAATGATGCGGACATGGCGAGGCTCCTGGAACAGTGGGAGGTCCGCGGCTCGCGCACTCTCTCCCGGTTCTTCCCTGCCCTGGTCCCCGCTCTGATTGACCCTTTACCTCCTTCTCCGCCTTGGAACCTTTTTGGTCTCCGTCTCAGTATCATGCGATCCTCTAACATCCTTTCTGCCCATGCCACGAGTCCTTACTGACCCACTTAAGCCACCTCTGACCTTCCATACCTCCCTTGACTCCCTCACGCCTGCAGACCTCTGCTCCAGGCCTCTCATTCTAGTGTCCTCTTTCATCTGTCACCATTTCTCGGGCCACTTCAGTCACGATTTAGCATCTCACTGCCCAGCCCCACTTTCCCTTCAGTGCCCTGGTCTGCGCTGCCCCTAGTGCCCAGTGAGCCCTATAAAAGGGAAGGAAAACTGTTTCCACTCCTGAAGAGCAACCGCTCATGTTTCTTCTATTCCCCGCTTTGTGTCAGGGTGAGTGGGTGGGTGAGTGGCATGTGGTGATGATTATTGTTTAAAAGTCACTCTAGCTTTGAGTTCTCCCATCTTCTAAATCAGGATTTCAGATTTCCTATTTTGGTATATTTCCCTGGTCAGAATTATGTAATTTTGTGGGTTTTTTTTTTTTTTTTTTTTTTTTTTGCGGGGGGCGGGGGTGGGGAGGAACGGTTAGAAGAAGTATAGCTTTCTGTTATAGAACTGGTATTTTTCGTTTAAAGGAGAAAAGATTTGTTTTTGGGTAAGTTGTGGTTTGTTACTTGGGGCTACTGGATTGAGGAAGGAGTGTGTAATAAGCTTTTAAGATAAAGTTTATTGGCCAGAACTGTGCTGCTGTCTCTCTCCCTTCCAAAGGTGTATTGAAGGGGATAGTTTGCAGAGCAGGTGGAGTGGAGGTAGTAAGCTTGGATTCTACTTACTGTGTAACCTTGAGCAGGTCATGGCTCCCTTTCCTTATGTGTAAAATGAGGGGGTTTTACTGGATGATCCCTAAGGTTCCTTTCAACACTGAAGTTAGTCATTTTGTGATTCTCTCTCTCCATTTCTTTGTTAAATACCAGAAAACAAAGCATTTGGCTGCTACCCAGAAGGTTGGCGGTTCAAACCCATCAGCCACTCCTTGGAAGGCAGACTGGGCAATCTACTTGGGTAAAGATTTACCACCTAGGAACCCAAAGGAGATTACCTTGAGTCAGAATCAACTCGATGGCAGTGAGTTTGTTTTTGCTTTGAGTATTGCACTAGGTCCCTGGGTGACAGAAAAGGTTTGCACTCGGCTACTAACCTAAAGATTGCTGGTTCAAGCCAACCCATTGGTACCATGGAAGAAGGGCCTGGCAGTCTGCTTCCTTAAAGATCCCAGACAAGAAAATCAATTCTATGGAGCAGTCTACTCTGTAACACTGGGGTGGCCATGAATTGAAATCAACTCATGGGCAGTGAGCAGTATAGTGGTAATCTCAAGCGTTTGCTTGCGTTAGAGGCTTTCAGACATGAATTTTAAATGCCACCTAATGCATTTGATTGGAAGAAAGCAGACCTGTGTTTTCATCTTTTTCAGCAGCTGATAGAAAGATTGGGCTAGATTTGAGTGTGTGTGGACAATTAATGAAGAGGGAACTTGGTGCACCATTCACCAGCTCCCTTACAATCTCTAATCTCTTTTTGGATTCAAACAATTGAAGCCTTTTGATCTGCAAAAGGAAGAACATCACTTCACCAGAAAATCCTACCTTGGAAATGCTCAGACCCTGAGCTAGACAAAGAGAGTGCTACAGAGGTGATCTAGGGCTTCAGCTACCAGGAACAGTAGCTAACAATGGAAATAACCACAATACAAAGTAGAAATTGGTGAGCATTATAAAAAGAAAGGAGATGCTGTGGGAATCACAAGGAATGGACTTCATGGAGGAAATGACATTATAAATAGGCCAAGAAAAGTGGAGAAAGGGAGAAGGGCATTCTTAGTGGAGCAGCAGGAGCTGAAGATGGGACATCTGATAACTGGGCAGAATTGTGCAAACATTTACAGCTCAGGCTCTGGAGTTAGACTGTCTGGATTCAACCACTTAAGTTTATGATTTGGGGCTGGTAATGACCTCTCTGTGCCTTAGTTCCCTCAGCTACAGAATGGAAATTTTAGTAGTAACTACCTCTTTAGGGTTGTTCCAGGGCTTAACAGAATACATGGATAGGACGTAGACTAGTGCATCTCAGTAGTCATGAGCTATGGTAATATTAATTTAGGTTGGCTGGACCAGACTATGTGAAGCAATCTCCTAATAGGAGATTAGAATGGAAAGGTTGGTGGGAACCAGGCCATGCAAAGCCTTGAATGCTATGAGGTTTGGATTTTAAAAAGAAATACGTAGCCCCTGGTGAGTTTGAAAAAGTTGCATTACATATATTTTTTGTTGTTGTGTGCTGTCAAGTCAATTCCAACTCATAGTGGCCCAATATGACAGAGTAAAACCTCCCCATAGAGTTTCCTAGGCTGTGATCTTTACAGGAGGAGATTGCCAGGTCTTTTCTCCCACAGAGTGGCTGGTGGATTCACACTGCCAGCCTTTCGCTTGTGCTGCCAGGGCTCCTTATTATTTATTTAATTTGCTTATTTATTTATTTTCTTGTGATTTGGGTGAAAATTTACAGAGCAAATTCACTTTCCATACAGCAGTTCACATACACTTTGTCTCATGACATTGACCACAATTTACCACACTGCAACAGCTCTCCTCCCATTTCCTCCCGATAGTTACCTCTTCCCTGTGTCCATCCCTTCATGTACTCCTGCCTCCTGAGCTGTCTCCCAGTGTATCAGCAGCCCTTCTTTCTCCCATGATTGCTCTCTCCAAGGAATGTGTCTACCTCAGGTAAATGTTTAGCTCATATGCCTGTCTTTTGTTTGGTTGGAAGCCACAGGTGTGGGTTCAGTTCCAGACCTTAAGGGCAGCTAGGGGCCATAGTCTCAGTGGTTCCACTAGGCTCTATCAGACCAGCAAACCTGGTCCCCTCCCTTTTTTTTTTTCTCCAAATGATTTTGAGTTTTGTTCCACATTGTTCTTCCTCTCTATCTAAGATCTCCTACATAGATCCCCTTCCAAGTGGTTGACAATGGTAGCCTGGCACCATCTAGTTCTTCTGGTCTCATAGTAGTATAGGCTGCAGATTGGATGGTGTACCAGTCGCTAGGACTAATTGTTTCCGTGAGTCTTTGGTTTTCTTCATTCTTTGCTCTGGACAAGGTGGGTCTCCCACTGTTGCGTATAGATGGCAGCTTGCAAACTTTTAAGATCCCAGTCGCTACTTGCCAAAGTAGGAGGTAGAACAATGTTTTGTGTAGTATGTTATGCTAATTGAGCTTGATGATCCCTGGGATTATGGTCCCAAGCCCACAGGTTCAACTACTCAGTTCCTCTGGGTAGCTGGCCCTGACCAAGCAGTGACTACAACCTTGTCCGGGGCTCCTTATTACCACATATTACAATACTGAAATTTTATATTTAATCATCCATAATCTCATCTCAAAACCTGTTCTTTTTCCAAGTGCACTTCGTATGCAGACATAATTTTCATAACTGAAGTCTTAGCATACATGGAATTTCCTGCTCATTTTTTTTATTTGATAGATACTAATTTAAACTTTATTTAAAGGCTTTAGAATATCCCCTGAAGTGAATGTTCCAGCTATTAAAGGTTTTTGAATTGAGGATGGTGGGGTCATAATGAGGACTAAACTTCAGGAAAATTAATTGGTCCCTAAAGTTTAGGAGAGCTCTGATGGTGTAGTACCTAAGGCATTTGACTGCTAACCAGAAGGCTGGTGGTTCAAACCCACCAGCCACTCCTTGGAAGGAAGGTTGGGCAATCTACTTCTCTAGTGATATCGCCTCAGAACCCCAGGGAGGGGTTGCTATGAGTTGGATCCGACTCAACAACAGTGAGTTTAGGACAGGAGCTCTGGTGGCATAGTGCCTAAGGCATTTGACTGCTACCCAGAAGGCTGGTGGTTCAAACCCACCAGCCATTCCTCGGAAGAGCTTCTTCTAGAGATACTGCCTCAGAAGCCTCAGGAGGGGTCACTGTGGGTCAAAATAGACTCGACGGCAGTGAGTGAGTGAGTGAAAGTTTAGGACAGATCAGCAAGGAGAGAAACTGAAGGCAGAGACAACTTAATAGTTAACATTTATTAGGCATTCATTACATGCTATGACTATGCAAAACATACTATCTCATTTAGTCCTTTCACCACCTCTGTGAGGGAGGTACTTATTTCTGTTTATAGATGATGATACTGAGGTACTAAACACATTGTGGTTGAGTCGGACCTGACTCATAGCGACCCCTCCTTGGGTTTCCCAGACAGTATCACTACAGAAGTAGATTGCCCAACTTTCCTTCCAGAGGAGTGGCTGGTGGTTTCGAACCGCCAGCCTTCTGGTTAGCAGTGAAATGCCTTAGGCACTATGCTGTCAGAGCTTAAGAGGTAAGTAAAACTGGGAAAAAAACAAACAAACAAAAAAAAATACCACTGTCATCAAGTTAGGAGCTCTGGTGGTGTGGTGCCTAAGGCATTTGACTGCTAACTAGAAGGTTAGTGGTTCAAACCCACAGGCCACTCCTGGGAAGGAAGATTGGGCAATCTACTTTCTTAGTGATATACTGCCTCAGAAACCCAGGGAGGGGTTGCTATGAGTCGGATGCGACTCGACAGCAGTGATTTTGGTTTTTGGTTAATTTCAATTTATAGTGACCCTATAGGACAGAATAGAACTGCCCTATAGGATTTCCAGGGAGCTCTGGTAGCATCGTGGCTAAGGCACTTGACTGCTAACCAGAAGGCTGGCGGTTCAAACCCACCAGCCACTTCTTGGAAGGAAGATTGGGCAATCTACTTCCATAGTGATCCTGGCTCAGAAACCCAAGGAGGGGTCACTATGAGTCGGGTCTGACTTGACGGCACATAACAACAACAGCAATAGGATTTCCAAGGCTGTAAATCTTTACAGAAGCAGAATGCCACATCTTTCTCTCAT